TACAGTGTAAACACTACAATGTAACCACTACAGTGTAACCACTAAACACTACAGTGTAACCACTACAGTGTAAACACTACAATGTAACCACTACAGTGTAACCACTAAACACTACAGTGTAACCACTACAGTGTAACCACTGCAGTGTAACCACTAAACACTAGTGTAACCACTAAACACTACAGTGTAAACACTACAGTGTAAACACTACAGTGTAACCACTAAACACTACAGTGTATAAACACTACAGTGTATACACTACAGTGTATACACTAAACACTACAGTGTAACCACTGCAGTGTAACCACTAAACACTACAGTGTAACCACTAAACACTACAGTGTAAACACTACAGTGTAACCACTACAGTGTAACCACTAAACACTACAGTGTAAACACTACAGTGTAAACACTACAGTGTAACCACTACAGTGTATACACTAAACACTACAGTGTAAACACTAAACACTACAGTGTATAAACACTACAGTGTATACACTACAGTGTATACACTAAACACTACAGTGTAAACACTACAGTGTAACCACTACAGTGTAACCACTACAGTGTATACACTAAACACTACAGTGTAACCACTAAACACTACAGTGTATACACTACAGTGTATACACTAAACACTACAGTGTAAACACTACAGTGTAACCACTACAGTGTAACCACTACAGTGTATACACTACAGTGTAACCACTAAACACTACAGTGTATACACTACAGTGTGTAAACACTACAGTGTAACCACTAAACACTACAGTGTATAAACACTACAGTGTATACACTACAGTGTATACACTAAACACTACAGTGTAAACACTACAGTGTAACCACTACAGTGTAACCACTAAACACTACAGTGTAACCACTACAGTGTAAACACTACAATGTAACCACTACAGTGTAACCACTAAACACTACAGTGTACCACTACAGTGTAACCACTAAACACTACAGTGTAACCACTACAGTGTAACCACTAAACACTACAGTGTAACCACTACAGTGTAAACACTACAGTGTATACACTACAGTGTATACACTAAACACTACAGTGTAAACACTACAGTGTAACCACTACAGTGTAACCACTAAACACTATAGTGTAACCACTACAGTGTAAACACTACAATGTAACCACTACAGTGTAACCACTAAACACTACAGTGTAACCACTACAGTGTAAACACTACAATGTAACCACTACAGTGTAACCACTAAACACTACAGTGTAACCACTACAGTGTAACCACTAAACACTACAGTGTAACCACTACAGTGTAACCACTACAGTGTAACCACTAAACACTACAGTGTAACCACTACAGTGTAAACACTACAGTGTATACACTACAGTGTATACACTAAACACTACAGTGTAAACACTACAGTGTAACCACTACAGTGTAACCACTACAGTGTAACCACTAAACACTACAGTGTAACCACTACAGTGTAAACACTACAATGTAACCACTACAGTGTAACCACTAAACACTACAGTGTAACCACTACAGTGTAACCACTACAGTGTAACCACTAAACACTACAGTGTAACCACTACAGTGTAAACACTACAGTGTATACACTACAGTGTATACACTAAACACTACAGTGTAAACACTACAGTGTAACCACTAAACACTACAGTGTAAACACTACAGTGTAAACACTACAGTGTGTAAACACTACAGTGTAAACACTACAGTGTATACACTACAGTGTATACACTGTAGTGTTTAGTGTATACACTACAGTGTATACACTGTAGTGTATACACTGTAGTGTATACACTAAACACTACAGTGTAAACACTACAGTGTAAACACTAGTGTATACACTACAGTGTATACACTGTAGTGTATACACTGTAGTGTATACACTAAACACTACAGTGTAAACACTACAGTGTAACCACTAAACACTACAGTGTATAAACACTACAGTGTATATACACTACAGTGTATACACTAAACACTACAGTGTAAACACTACAGTGTAACCACTACAGTGTAACCACTACAATGTAACCACTAAACACTACAGTGTAACCACTACAGTGTAAACACTACAGTGTAACCACTACAGTGTAACCACTAAACACTACAGTGTAACCACTACAGTGTAACCACTACAGTGTAACCACTAAACACGACAGTGTAACCACTACAGTGTAACCACTACAGTGTAACCACTAAACACTACAGTGTAACCACTACAGTGTAAACACTACAGTGTATACACTACAGTGTATACACTAAACACTACAGTGTAAACACTAGTGTAACCACTACAGTGTATACACTACAGTGTATACACTGTAGTGTATACACTACAGTGTGTATACACTGTAGTGTATACACACTACAGTGTAACCACTAAACACTACAGTGTAACCACTACAGTGTAACCACTACAGTGTAAACACTAAACACTACAGTGTAACCACTAAACACTACAGTGTAACCACTACAGTGTAACCACTACAGTGTAAACACTAAACACTACAGTGTAAACACTACAGTGTAACCACTAAACACTACAGTGTAACCACTACAGTGTAACCACTACAGTGTAACCACTAAACACTACAGTGTAAACACTACAGTGTAACCACTAAACACTACAGTGTAAACACTACAGTGTATACACTACAGTGTAACCACTAAACACTACAGTGTAAACACTACAGTGTAACCACTAAACACTACAGTGTAACCACTACAGTGTAACCACTACAGTGTAACCACTAAACACTACAGTGTAAACACTACAGTGTAACCACTAAACACTACAGTGTAACCACTACAGTGTAACCACTACAGTGTAACCACTAAACACTACAGTGTAAACACTACAGTGTAACCACTAAACACTACAGTGTAAACACTACAGTGTAAACACTACAGTGTGTAAACACTACAGTGTAACAACTACAGTGTAACCACTACAGTGTAACCACTAAACACTACAGTGTGTAAACACTACAGTGTAAACACTACAGTGTAACCACTAAACACTACAGTGTAACCACTAAACACTACAGTGTAACCACTACAGTGTAACCACTACAGTGTATACACTACAGCAGGGGTCGGCAACCCCTGGCACGCGTGCCAGCATTGGCACGCGGCACCGTAACCAGTGGCACACTAGGATTAAGTGGAATAAGTGTGCAAAATATTTAAATTGTATTTTCGGATCCTGAACGAGACCGCCGCCAGAGCGCGTCTCCCCGTTACCTGCAGAAGGAAGCCATGCACGCAGCGCAGCCCCGCTGTTTAACTCCAGGTGACTTTCTGCCGCTTTCCTCCGTGGTGCAGGGCTGATCGTTTCACCACGGAGGAAAGCACAAATTGCAGTACCCATAAGGAGCTGTACAAATATCACAGTTTTTGCGTGGCTGTGTCTTTAGTTGAAAGCCCAGTGGCGATCTGCTCATCTCTCATCGAAATAATATGCTACAAAGGGGCGGACTGGCCATCTGTGTGTTGAACTTTCCTGTCGGCTCCCAGACCGTAGTCGAGGAGGGCAGAAGCAACAAGCTTCAGGTTCAATAACCCACTTTAGCTTAAATGACTGGAGAGAGGCGAGCTCTTCTTGGGATGCATTTATTTAGCTGTTCTTCAGCGATCTCATCTCACTCTGCATGACCCTAATATCATAACATGTGTGTTCTGGAGAATCACAGAACGGACGATCGACCTTATTATTATGCCGTTTAAACCAATTATTTAAATGTGTTTGTTAAATAGGCTTAAATAGGCTCCCCCCACCCTCCTGTTGATAGTTCACCAGCGTCAAGCTCCTCAACACCACCCCCCCCCCCCCCCCCGTTGATCATTTTCGATCGTTGGCACGCTGATAACAATGAATTTTTTTAATGGCACATCATATCAAAAAGGTTGCCGACCCCTGCACTACAGTGTAACCACTAAACACTACAGTGTATACACTACAGTGTGTAAACACTACAGTGTATACACTACAGTGTATACACTACAGTGTAACCACTAAACACTACAGTGTAACCACTACAGTGTAAACACTAAACACTACAGTGTAACCACTAAACACTACAGTGTAAACACTAAACACTACAGTGTAACCACTAAACACTACAGTGTAAACACTACAGTGTAACCACTAAACACTACAGTGTAAACACTACAGTGTAAACACTAAACACTACAGTGTAAACACTACAGCGTCACATCAACACACTCACTGATTGGGGGTCAAACACAGCAACAAGAAGCTGAGGGTCACCTGACCGTCTTTCAGACCTTATATTAATCACTCATTAAATCACTTCGTCCTCGTCCTGCGAACACAGTTCTTTACTGTCCTCCTAAAAAACAACATTAGTTTAATCTGAGATAAAGAGATCCAGAGTATTTTACAGAAACAAAGCCACGAGTTTAATCCCTGATCTGATAATCTGTCTCTGAAGGAAGCTTGATCTCTAAAGCTCTCAGGACTTCTATCCTCTAACTGTACCGGGTAGCTTCAGTATTCTTCAACCCAGACACCATGAACCTCCATCTCTCTGAATGGAGACACCATGAACCTCCATCTCTCTGAATGGAGACACCATGAACCTCCATCTCTCTGAATGGAGACACCATGAACCTCCATCTCTCTGAATGGAGACACCATGAACCTCCATCTCTCTGAATGGAGACACCATGAACCTCCATCTCTCTGAATGGAGACACCATGAACCTCCATCTCTCTGAATGGAGACACCATGAACCTCCATCTCTCTGAATGGAGACACCATGAACCTCCATCTCTCTGAATGGAGACACCATGAACCTCCATCTCTCTGAATGGAGACACCATGAACCTCCATCTCTCTGAATGGAGACCCTCAGAAAGTCTCCTAACAACAAGCTCATCGCCATCTGTCCATGAGTCACACACTGAGTCCTCTCTCAGTCACTTAGAGATAAAGACATGTGATTTCAAACGGAGGGCGATCCTACCAGTTATACGGCAGCTTCCCGTCTCGCTCAAACGAAGCGAAGTTTACGAACGTCTCGGCACCGCAGTCTCTGAAACACAAACAACAACATATCGTAAACACAAACAACAACACGTCTGAAACACAAACAACAACAACACAAACAAACAACAACATATCTGAACCTCATTTTTAAAGTGACAATATTACTTCCTGAACTTAGTGACATCACTACGGAACACTCGCTCTCCTATTGGCTAGCGCTTCAACACATTGTACGTGATGGCTAAGGAGCGGGACATCTCTAAGCGGTTGAGTGAGTGAGTGAGTGAGTCCGTGTGCGTGTGCGTGTGCGTGTGTGTGTGTGTGTGTGTGTGTGTGTTACCTGGTCATCTGCAGGTGTTTCTTGCGTAGGATGAGCAGGAAGAGGACCATCAGACTGAGCAGCAGGATGCTGAGGACGGCCAGAGCCGAGATCGCCCCTACGCTGGGGTTCATCTCTTTATCTGCACACACACACACACACACACACACACACACACACACACACACACACACACACACACACACACACACACACACACACAACACACACACACAACACACACACACACACACACACCACACACACCCACACACACACACACACACACACACACACACACACACACACACAACACACACACACAGCACACACACACAACACACACACACACACACACACACACACACACACACACACACACACACACACACACACACACACACACACACACACACACACACACACACACACACACACACACACACACACACACACACACACACACACACACACACACACACACACACACAGTGTTGTAGCTGAAGCTGGTGGTGTGTTGAATGATGAATAAAGGTTAATATAGAGATATCTACCAGTGGTCCTGATGGTGATGTGGGCCGGTCTGCTGGGGGTGTTGTAGCTGAAGCTGGTGATGGAGCAGTTGTATTTGGAGGCGGGCTTCAGGCCGGACACCGTCACCATGTGACCGCTGAACGTCTGAGGCTCTCGAGACTGAGAGGAACAACAAACGTTTATTAATGTACGGAAAGGTCAGAAACCACAACAACAGACTACAAAGCAGTCACTTTCTGGGGCTTTTATTTTGAAAAGCAAGCCTAACCCTGAGCACAATGCAACAATAATTCAGCTACATTCTGGGGCTTTTATTTTGAAAAACATGCCTCCTCCAGAGCTTCCGGTAAACATACAGTAACTATGTGGGCTTTTATTTTGAAAAACAAGCCTAACCCTGAGCACAATGCAACAATAATTCAGCTATATTCTGGGGCTTTTATTTTGAAAATCGGCCTCATCCTTTTGAGTTCTTTACTGTATTTATATATATTATTACTGCTCTCACCTTGGTCTCTCTTTCCGGCATGGGGTCTCTGCAGAGGATCTGGTAGAAGTCCACGACCCCGTCCTGCGTCCAGAGCAGCGAGACGGAGCTGTGTGAGGCGTTCACTGCCATCAGAGCGCGAGGAGCAGCCGGCTCTACAGGAACACAGAGATCATACAGAACTCTGTGAGAGGCGTTCACTGCCATCAGAGAGAGAGGAGACGCGTTATGATGACACACTGACCCAGTTTGATGATGTGAGGGATCGATGTGTTTCTGCTCCGCTCCGTGCACGCCGTCACCGTCAGGTTGTAAATATCTCCGGGGGGGAGGGGGAGGCCGGCAAACATCACGTTACGAGTCACCTACACACACACACACACACACACACACACACACACACACACACACACAAGAAAAATTGGCAGAAATGTTCAAAAGAAGCCAGAACTGTATTTGCCGCTTAGTATTTATAGATATCATGATATACGTATTTGTGGTTCTCACGTCGATGGAGAAGCGCCGCTCGGAGCCTTTCTTCCCGACGGCCAGCAGGGTCCAGTGCAGCATGCGGGAGTGAGAGAGGTCGATGAAGAGCTCTCCGTACGTCCAGCGCACGTAGAGCACGCCGTGGGAGTAGTCCACCGAGGAGATGCGGGGCGCCTCCGGGGCTGGGGGGGGGATCATGGCCAGCAGCAGCTCATTAGCATTTCAATCAGGGGTCACTCTCCGAGGGCCACGTACAGAAAAACATACGAAGCTCTGGGCCGCTCACTAGAGGGTTATCGCCTCGTATGTTCAGTTATAAGTTGGACAGATCAATCTAATGGAGGTCAGTGATGCTTGCATCTGCTAAACAAACAGCTCCCAGCTCTCCAGAGGGGTTCCTTGATCTAGTTAGCAGCTCATCTCTTAAAACAGAAGCTTCACAGTGATGATGATGATAAGAGGAAACATGAAGGGTTTATTACAAGCTTGTTCTGTTAATGAGTTATTGGGCTTTTTTCTTATCAACTTCGATTTGTTAGAACATATTTTCAACTTTAATTGACTGGATGTATTGTAAAGTGGTTTTATTAGCGCATGAATACTGTGTAGTATATGTTTACATTTATATTTAAGAAGTACAATACAAGACAAGCTCAAGTTTCATTTGTGGGCCGTATTACATTAGACTTTTTGAATTTGCTGAGGGCCGATTCAAAATGTCCCGCGGGCCGTAGTTTGGACACCCCTGAGATAAAGTAACAGACAGAGAATCAGCACTTTGGAAACAGGGCTGAAACAGAGGGGATTATGGGTAATGCTGCAATGATCAGTTTAGTGTTTCAGCCAATCAGAGACAGGCTCTGGATATATCTGAGACCTGGGATATGTTGATGAAGAAGAGGATAACAGGGGACCTTTAATATCTGTGTACCTGTGATGAAGCTGACGGTGGATCTGTCGCAGCAGCTGAGGGGGGGGTCGCCCCACGTCACCATGGAAACACGGAAGTTATAATACCAGGCAGGAAGCAGGTCGGTCACTCTCTGAGGACAGGAGAACATTAAGATGAGTTATCAAATAATAAATAATAATATGTAAATATATCTAATATGTATATATGTTCATTTCATTCATTTCTTATTTTCTCTGTGTGTGTGTGTGTGTGTGTGTGTGTGTGTGTGTGTGTGTGTGTGTGTGTGTGTGTGTGTGTGTGTGTGTGTGTGTGTGTGTGTGTGTGTGTGTGTGTGTGTGTGTGTGTGTGTGTGTACCACGGAGGCGATCACAGAGCTAGTAGCAGCGATCTCGTAGTAGACGGTCCACTCTGAGGCGAGGGTCACGGGGTTGAAGAAGAAGGTCTGCAGGATGAACTTCCTGAAGGAGACCAGGTAGGGCCTCTGCCAGCTGAGGAGCACTGCTGTGGGGGAGAGGGGGAACACCGAGAGCTGATGCACCCCCGTGGGCTCTGAGGGGGAGAGGGGGAGAGAGGGTGAGGCTGAGGGGGAACACAGAGAGCTGCTGCACCCCCGTGGGCTCTGAGGGGGAGGGGGGGAGAGAGGGTGAGGCTGAGGGGGAACACAGGCCCCGGCTCCACGAGGACAAATACGGCAAAACGCATCGGAGAAACGCAAATGCAACCGCAAAAAACCTTCCGTCCCCACGCAATATACACCGGATTGTGTCAAGCTCCACGAGACGGCTCCGTTTACATCCAAACGCTGGAAAAGCTACAGTACATATGCCGAACCTGTACGTGGCGCTGTAACTTCCTCCACAAAAGCAGCAACTTCCTCCACAAAATCAGCGAAGAAGAATGGTTGTCATGGCTGCACTTCTGTGTATTCTCCGCGGTGGGGGCCGACAGAACCGGGCAGAGTTTTTCGCCGGTCAGCGTGTGTTAAAGTTTAAATCTTCCGGACAAAATTATAAAAGTGCCGGTCAAAGGTCTTCATTGTTATTTATTGAGCTTTAAAACAAATGAATAACGACTATATAATGATATATAATCATCAAATACACAGAGCCTGTCTCTTTTTCCTCTCTTCTCACAGCGTCAGTGTCTGTCTCATGCAGCAGCTGATCCTGTAATGAGTGACCCGACAGTAAAAATGAACATATTTATAACTAGTTTAGTTTGAGAGGTAATTAAAATAGCTAAGGGTGATGATCTGACTTGAAGTGTGTGTTTTGCTCCCGCTGCATCACAGCGGCAGGAGCTGCGTGTCTCCGTCCTGTCAGATTAGACTTCACTCGCGTTTATGTCCATATCGAGATAAAGATAAATAATCTGAATTCAAGGAGGAGCTCCTGTAGATGTTGCACAAAGAACTGTAGCATGGTCAGTAGCGACTGGAGCACGATAGCAACCCTGCGGGGGAGAGGCGGGGAGAGGCGGGGCTATAAAAACGAATGACCGTATAGGCGACTCCACGGCCCCGTTGGACCCCCCAGAGCGCTCAGTTCCCAGATCTATCCACCTTTGGACCCGTTGTCGTTTGCGGGGTCTGTTTCTACGTTTCCCTTACGGCGTCGTGGAGCTTAGAGGGCTATACGCATGAGAAATATGCGGATTCAACCAGTTTTCGTCCTCGTGGAGCCGGGGCCACAGAGAGCTGCTGCACCCCCGTGGGCTCTGGGGGGGGAGGGGGCAACATCTACTATATCCATATTTGATTGTAATCTTTCTAGACCTATCTGAAAACATCACGTCTCCCTGAAGTGAACACACGAGGGGTTACAGCACATTAGAGGAAAGCCTGCAGCTCGTTGAGATAACACTTATGTGTGGTACAGGCAGGATGTAGATCACCTATATCGATGATAACAGGCTCGGAGGGGGGGCTCAGCAGGGGGCCGTTGGTGTGGTAGACCACCACCCGGTACTGAGCTCCTGGGGTCAGGTTGGTGATCAGGTCGCTGGAGGAGTTCTCCTGAAGAAACACACACATATCAAACATGCATTAATCAAATGTGTGTGTGCAGCGTGTGTGTACCTGGGTACAGTGTGTGTGTGTGTGTGTGTGTGTGTGTGTGTGTGTGTGTGTGTGTGTGTGTGTGTGTGTGTGTGTGTGTGTGTGTGTGTGTGTGTGTGGTGTGTGTGTGTGTGTGTGTGTGTGTGTGTGTGTGTTGTGTGTGTGTGTGTGTGTGTGTGTGTGTGTGTGTGTGTGTGTGTGTGTGTGTGTGTGTGTGTGTGTGTGTGTGTGTGTGTGTGTGTGTGTGTGTGTACCTGTTCACAGTAGGTGTTCTCCATCCTCTGGCTGATGCTGGGTCTCCTGCAGGTCGTAGAGATCACGGACACTAAGCTGCCGTTGTGTTTCTCTGTGGAATCTGACCAGGAGACGGCAGCCGTGCTGGAGTCCAGCAGCCGCACGCCGACAGCCTGAGGACGCTCGCTCAGGTCCTCCAGGACCACACCTGAGGCACCTGAGACATAAAGAACATACACTCATTATAATAATAATATCTCCAGGAGATCACCTTAGAGCAAGGTACCTGACAACTGGCTCAAATACCTGTACTTTCTACTTCTTACATGTTGAACCCAAATACCTGTACTTTCTACTTCTTACATGTTGAACACAAATACCTGTACTTTCTACTTCTTACATGTTGAACCCAAATACCTGTACTTTCTACTTCTCACATGTTGAACACAAATACCTGTACTTTCTACTTCTCACATGTTGAACCCAAATACCTGTACTTTCTACTTCTTACATGTTGAACACAAATACCTGTACTTTCTACTTCTTACATGTTGAACACAAATACCTGTACTTTCTACTTCTTACATGTTGAACCCAAATACCTGTACTTTCTACTTCTTACATGTTGAACTCAAATACCTGTACTTTCTACTTCTTACATGTTGAACACAAATACCTGTACTTTCTACTTCTTACATGTTGAACACAAATACCTGTACTTTCTACTTCTTACATGTTGAACACAAATACCTGTACTTTCTACTTCTCACATGTTGAACCCAAATACCTGTACTTTCTACTTCTTACATGTTGAACACAAATACCTGTACTTTCTACTTCTTACATGTTGAACACAATACCTGTACTTTCTACTTCTCACATGTTGAACACAAATACCTGTACTTTCTACTTCTTACATGTTGAACTCAAATACCTGTACTTTCTACTTCTTACATGTTGAACACAAATACCTGTACTTTCTACTTCTTACATGTTGAACACAAATACCTGTACTTTCTACTTCTCACATGTTGAACCCAAATACCTGTACTTTCTACTTCTTACATGTTGAACACAAATACCTGTACTTTCTACTTCTTACATGTTGAACACAAATACCTGTACTTTCTACTTCTCACATGTTGAACACAAATACCTGTACTTTCTACTTCTTACATGTTGAACACAAATACCTGTACTTTCTACTTCTTACATGTTGAACACAAATACCTGTACTTTCTACTTCTCACATGTTGAACACAAATACCTGTACTTTCTACTTCTCACATGTTGAACACAAATACCTGTACTTTCTACTTCTTACATGTTGAACACAAATACCTGTACTTTCTACTTCTTACATGTTGAACCCAAATACCTGTACTTTCTACTTCTTACATGTTGAACACAAATACCTGTACTTTCTACTTCTTACATGTTGAACCCAAATACCTGTACTTTCTACTTCTCACATTTCCCAAACAGGCTGGTTCGTTTAGTTTGAATGTGTGTTTGGTGGCGTGATCATTATTCTTTAGAGTCATTGCGTGCCTATTGATTTGAACACGATCCGTGTATCCATCATTTCCTGGTCTTCTCTAAAGAAGAGGGACCAATGAAAACGTTGTCATGTTGCCGTTGTTCAGCATGGAAACATTCATTAGCTAACAATGACATTATTGTTCTATTAATATAAAGGGAGGTCAGGTACTCTTTAAAACAGCTGCTAGTTATGGGTACTTTTTACTGAAGTACATTTCAAAGCCTCTTTACTTTCACTTGAGTAAAGAAGTTTAGTCAGTACTTCTACTTTCAACAGAGTATTTTTAAACACGAGTATGTGTACTTCTACTTGAGTAAAGGATGTGTGTACTTTTGATATCTCTGTGTAAAACTGAGTGTGTTTCTCACTGAGGTAGAAGGTGAACTGAGTGTGTTTCTCTCTCTGAGGTAGAAGGTGAACTGAGTGTGTTTCTCTCTCTGAGGTAGAAGGTGAACTGAGTGTGTTTCTCACTGAGGTAGAAGGTGAACTGAGTGTGTTTCTCACTGAGGTAGAAGGTGAACTGAGTGTGTTTCTCACTGAGGTAGAAGGTGAACTGAGTGTGTTTCTCTCTGAGGTAGAAGGTGAACTGAGTGTGTTTCTCTCTGAGGTAGAAGGTGAACTGAGTGTGTTTCTCTCTGAGGTAGAAGGTAAACTGAGTGTGTTTCTCTCTGAGGTAGAAGGTGAACTGAGTGTGTTTCTCTCTGAGGTAGAAGGTGAACTGAGTGTGTTTCTCTCTCTGAGGTAGAAGGTAAACTGAGTGTGTTTCTCTCTGAGGTAGAAGGTGAACTGAGTGTGTTTCTCTCTGAGGTAGAAGGTGAACTGAGTGTGTTTCTCTCTGAGGTAGAAGGTGAACTGAGTGTGTTTCTCTCTCTGAGGTAGAAGGTGAACTGAGTGTGTTTCTCTCTCTGAGGTAGAAGGTGAACTGAGTGTGTTTCTCTCTCTGAGGTAGAAGGTGAACTGAGTGTGTTTCTCACTGAGGTAGAAGGTGAACTGAGTGTGTTTCTCTCTGAGGTAGAAGGTGAACTGAGTGTGTTTCTCACTGAGGTAGAAGGTGAACTGAGTGTGTTTCTCTCTCTGAGGTAGAAGGTGAACTGAGTGTGTTTCTCTCTCTGAGGTAGAAGGTGAACTGAGTGTGTTTCTCACTGAGGTAGAAGGTGAACTGAGTGTGTTTCTCTCTCTGAGGTAGAAGGTGAACTGAGTGTGTTTCTCTCTGAGGTAGAAAGTGAACTGAGTGTGTTTCTCTCTGAGGTAGAAGGTGAACTGAGTGTGTTTCTCTCTGAGGTAGAAGGTGAACTGAGTGTGTTTCTCTCTGAGGTAGAAGGTGAACTGAGTGTGTTTCTCTCTGAGGTAGAAGGTGAACTGAGTGTGTTTCTCTCTGAGGTAGAAGGTGAACTGAGTGTGTTTCTCTCTGAGGTAGAAGGTGAACTGAGTGTGTTTCTCTCTCTGAGGTAGAAGGTGAACTGAGTGTGTTTCTCTCTGAGGTAGAAGGTGAACTGAGTGTGTTTCTCACTGAGGTAGAAGGTGAACTGAGTGTGTTTCTCTCTCTGAGGTAGAAGGTGAACTGAGTGTGTTTCTCTCTGAGGTAGAAAGTGAACTGAGTGTGTTTCTCTCTGAGGTAGAAGGTGAACTGAGTGTGTTTCTCTCTCTGAGGTAGAAGGTGAACTGAGTGTGTTTCTCTCTGAGGTAGAAGGTGAACTGAGTGTGTTTCTCTCTCTGAGGTAGAAAGTGAACTGAGTGTGTTTCTCTCTCTGAGGTAGAAAGTGAACTGAGTGTGTTTCTCTCTGAGGTAGAAGGTGAACTGAGTGTGTTTCTCTCTGAGGTAGAAGGTGAACTGAGTGTGTTTCTCTCTCTGAGGTAGAAAGTGAACTGAGTGTGTTTCTCTCTCTGAGGTAGAAAGTGAACTGAGTGTGTTTCTCTCTCTGAGGTAGAAAGTGAACTGAGTGTGTTTCTCTCTGAGGTAGAAGGTGAACTGAGTGTGTTTCTCTCTCTGAGGTAGAAAGTGAACTGAGTGTGTTTCTCTCTGAGGTAGAAGGTGAACTGAGTGTGTTTCTCACTGAGGTAGAAGGTGAACTGAGTGTGTTTCTCTCTGAGGTAGAAGGTGAACTGAGTGTGTTTCTCTCTCTGAGGTAGAAAGTGAACTGAGTGTGTTTCTCTCTGAGGTAGAAGGTGAACTGAGTGTGTTTCTCTCTGAGGTAGAAGGTGAACTGAGTGTGTTTCTCTCTCTGAGGTAGAAGGTAAACTGAGTGTGTTTCTCTCTGAGGTAGAAGGTGAACTGAGTGTGTTTCTCTCTGAGGTAGAAAGTGAACTGAGTGTGTTTCTCACTGAGGTAGAAGGTGAACTGAGTGTGTTTCTCACTGAGGTAGAAAGTGAACTGAGTGTGTTTCTCTCTGAGGTAGAAGGTGAACTGAGTGTGTTTCTCTCTGAGGTAGAAGGTGAACTGAGTGTGTTTCTCTCTGAGGTAGAAGGTGAACTGAGTGTGTTTCTCTCTCTGAGGTAGAAAGTGAACTGAGTGTGTTTCTCTCTGAGGTAGAAGGTGAACTGAGTGTGTTTCTCTCTCTGAGGTAGAAGGTAAACTGAGTGTGTTTCTCTCTGAGGTAGAAAGTGAACTGAGTGTGTTTCTCTCTGAGGTAGAAGGTGAACTGAGTGTGTTTCTCACTGAGGTAGAAGGTGAACTGAGTGTGTTTCTCTCTGAGGTAGAAGGTGAACTGAGTGTGTTTCTCTCTCTGAGGTAGAAGGTGAACTGAGTGTGTTTCTCTCTCTGAGGTAGAAGGTGAACTGAGTGTGTTTCTCTCTGAGGTAGAAGGTGAACTGAGTGTGTTTCTCTCTCTGAGGTAGAAGGTGAACTGAGTGTGTTTCTCTCTCTGAGGTAGAAAGTGAACTGAGTGTGTTTCTCTCTCTGAGGTAGAAAGTGAACTGAGTGTGTTTCTCTCTCTGAGGTAGAAGGTGAACTGAGTGTGTTTCTCTCTCTGAGGTAGAAAGTGAACTGAGTGTGTTTCTCTCTGAGGTAGAAGGTGAACTGAGTGTGTTTCTCTCTCTGAGGTAGAAAGTGAACTGAGTGTGTTTCTCTCACTGAGGTAGAAGGTGAACTGAGTGTGTTTCTCTCTGAGGTAGAAGGTGAACTGAGTGTGTTTCTCTCTGAGGTAGAAGGTGAACTGAGTGTGTTTCTCTCTCTGAGGTAGAAGGTGAACTGAGTGTGTTTCTCTCTGAGGTAGAAAGTGAACTGAGTGTGTTTCTCACTGAGGTAGAAGGTGAACTGAGTGTGTTTCTCTCTCTGAGGTAGAAGGTGAACTGAGTGTGTTTCTCTCTGAGGTAGAAGGTGAACTGAGTGTGTTTCTCACTGAGGTAGAAGGTGAACTGAGTGTGTTTCTCTCTGAGGTAGAAGGTAAACTGAGTGTGTTTCTCTCTGAGGTAGAAGGTAAACTGAGTGTGTTTCTCTCTCTGAGGTAGAAGGTGAACTGAGTGTGTTTCTCTCTGAGGTAGAAGGTGAACTGAGTGTGTTTCTCTCTGAGGTAGAAGGTAAACTGAGTGTGTTTCTCTCACTGAGGTAGAAGGTGAACTGAGTGTGTTTCTCTCTCTGAGGTAGAAGGTGAACTGAGTGTGTTTCTCTCTGAGGTAGAAGGTGAACTGAGTGTGTTTCTCTCTGAGGTAGAAGGTGAACTGAGTGTGTTTCTCACTGAGGTAGAAGGTGAACTGAGTGTGTTTCTCTCTCTGAGGTAGAAGGTGAACTGAGTGTGTTTCTCACTGAGGTAGAAGGTGAACTGAGTGTGTTTCTCTCTCTGAGGTAGAAGGTGAACTGAGTGTGTTTCTCACTGAGGTAGAAGGTGAACTGAGTGTGTTTCTCTCTCTGAGGTAGAAGGTGAACTGAGTGTGTTTCTCTCTGAGGTAGAAGGTGAACTGAGTGTGTTTCTCTCTGAGGTAGAAGGTGAACTGAGTGTGTTTCTCTCTGAGGTAGAAGGTGAACTGAGTGTGTTTCTCTCTGAGGTAGAAGGTGAACTGAGTGTGTTTCTCTCTGAGGTAGAAGGTGAACTGAGTGTGTTTCTCACTCTGAGGTAGAAAGTGAACTGAGTGTGTTTCTCTCTCTGAGGTAGAAGGTGAACTGAGTGTGTTTCTCTCTCTGAGGTAGAAAGTGAACTGAGTGTGTTTCTCTCTGAGGTAGAAGGTGAACTGAGTGTGTTTCTCACTGAGGTAGAAAGTGAACTGAGTGTGTTTCTCACTGAGGTAGAAGGTGAACTGAGTGTGTTTCTCTCTGAGGTAGAAGGTGAACTGAGTGTGTTTCTCTCTCTGAGGTAGAAGGTGAACTGAGTGTGTTTCTCTCTCTGAGGTAGAAGGTAAACTGAGTGTGTTTCTCTCTCTGAGGTAGAAGGTGAACTGAGTGTGTTTCTCTCTGAGGTAGAAGGTGAACTGAGTGTGTTTCTCTCTCTGAGGTAGAAGGTAAACTGAGTGTGTTTCTCTCTCTGAGGTAGAAGGTGAACTGAGTGTGTTTCTCTCTGAGGTAGAAGGTGAACTGAGTGTGTTTCTCTCTCTGAGGTAGAAGGTGAACTGAGTGTGTTTCTCTCTGAGGTAGAAGGTGAACTGAGTGTGTTTCTCTCTGAGGTAGAAGGTGAACTGAGTGTGTTTCTCTCTCTGAGGTAGAAGGTGAACTGAGTGTGTTTCTCTCTGAGGTAGAAGGTGAACTGAGTGTGTTTCTCACTGAGGTAGAAGGTGAACTGAGTGTGTTTCTCTCTGAGGTAGAAGGTGAACTGAGTGTGTTTCTCTCTCTGAGGTAGAAGGTAAACTGAGTGTGTTTCTCTCTGAGGTAGAAGGTGAACTGAGTGTGTTTCTCTCTGAGGTAGAAGGTGAACTGAGTGTGTTTCTCACTGAGGTAGAAGGTGAACTGAGTGTGTTTCTCTCTGAGGTAGAAGGTGAACTGAGTGTGTTTCTCTCTGAGGTAGAAGGTGAACTGAGTGTGTTTCTCTCTCTGAGGTAGAAGGTGAACTGAGTGTGTTTCTCACTGAGGTAGAAGGTGAACTGAGTGTGTTTCTCACTGAGGTAGAAGGTGAACTGAGTGTGTTTCTCTCTGAGGTAGAAGGTAAACTGAGTGTGTTTCTCTCTGAGGTAGAAGGTGAACTGAGTGTGTTTCTCTCTCTGAGGTAGAAGGTGAACTGAGTGTGTTTCTCTCTCTGAGGTAGAAGGTGAACTGAGTGTGTTTCTCTCTGAGGTAGAAGGTGAACTGAGTGTGTTTCTCTCTCTGAGGTAGAAGGTGAACTGAGTGTGTTTCTCTCTGAGGTAGAAGGTGAACTGAGTGTGTTTCTCTCTGAGGTAGAAGGTAAACTGAGTGTGTTTCTCTCTGAGGTAGAAGGTGAACTGAGTGTGTTTCTCTCTCTGAGGTAGAAGGTGAACTGAGTGTGTTTCTCACTGAGGTAGAAGGTAAACTGAGTGTGTTTCTCTCTGAGGTAGAAGGTGAACTGAGTGTGTTTCTCTCTGAGGTAGAAGGTGAACTGAGTGTGTTTCTCTCTCTGAGGTAGAAGGTGAACTGAGTGTGTTTCTCTCTGAGGTAGAAGGTGAACTGAGTGTGTTTCTCTCTCTGAGGTAGAAGATGAACTGAGTGTGTTTCTCTCTGAGGTAGAAGGTGAACTGAGTGTGTTTCTCTCACTGAGGTAGAAGGTGAACTGAGTGTGTTTCTCTCACCGAGGTAGAAAGTGAACTGAGTGTGTTTCTCTCTGAGGTAGAAGGTGAACTGAGTGTGTTTCTCTCACTGAGGTAGAAGGTGAACTGAGTGTGTTTCTCTCACTGAGGTAGAAGGTGAACTGAGTGTGTTTCTCTCACTGAGGTAGAAGGTGAACTGAGTGTGTTTCTCTCACCGAGGTAGAAAGTGAACTGAGTGTGTTTCTCTCTGAGGTAGAAGGTGAACTGAGTGTGTTTCTCTCTGAGGTAGAAGGTGAACTGAGTGTGTTTCTCTCTGAGGTAGAAGGTGAACTGAGTGTGTTTCTCACTGAGGTAGAAGGTGAACTGAGTGTTGGCGGCGCTCTCTCGAGGCTCGCAGTCCCCCGCGGAGCTGAGTGTTTTCACAAGGACTCGATATGTTCCCGGCTCCATCAACTCAGTGAAGAACTCGTGAGTGTTCTCGTCCACCGAGGCCGTCTCCGTGGAGTTCCCTGAGGACACACACCAGGTGAGGTCAGTATATATTAAAGGTCTCCTATTGTACTATCTTTAGGCAGATATTACAGGTCTCAGATATAAGACATGTCTCTGAAGTGTCCTGCTCCAAACCCCAAACAGATCCTTGTAGCCCCCCCCCCCTCTCTTCCAGCTGTTACTAAGGACATGTCTCTGAAGTGTCCTGCTCCAAACCCCAAACAGATCCTTGTAGCCCCCCCCCCCCTCTCTTCCAGCTGTTACTAAGGACATGTCTCTGAAGTGTCCTGCTCCAAACCCCAAACAGATCCTTGTAGCCCCCCCCCCCCCTCTCTCCCAGCTGTTACTAAAGAGCTGACTCTGGGTCAGTAGCTTCAGAGAGAGAGTAGATCTCATCAGGAGAACTCTCCCAGCAGAAACTCAGCTAAATGCTGCCGTGACTAAACTCCATATCATGTTCCAAACCACATGAAGGATTCTCTCTGAAACAGTATGGAGCTCAAACTCTTTCTCTCTCTCAGGTTTACCACAAGGTGACTTCCTTTTGATTTCCTGCTTCTTCACACATGCTCTCTCCAGTACAGGTTAGCTCTGAGTGTTAGCATGCTAATGTAAACACAGACCATATTACTTCCATTTTGATTTTGTAAGCGAAAACAAACATGAAATAATATGACTCACCGTCTCTGTAGATGTAGATGTTGAAGCCGTCGTAGCTGGTCGGCGGTCGGGGGGGCAGCCATCTTACCTCCATGAGGAGGGGGGGCAGCGGGGGGGGGACACACTGCGGGGGGGGTCGGGGGGGGGGAGCATCATCGCTGACCCCGAGTCTTCATACTCTGACACCACCGCGTTCACAAACTCCTCCTCTTCCTCCTCCTCTTCTTCCTTCTGTGGATTAGGCCACGCCCCCTCCTTCGGTGGATTAAGCCACGCCCCCTCATCCTCCTCGTTGGTCAGGTTGAAGCCTGTCAGGTTGTGCGTTGGGCTGAAGCTGAAAGGAGCCTCCGTGCCCTCGTGCTCGTCTGAAGGCTGAACCTGAGGGAGGATTCAAATACAGAATGATCTTTTTTTTCTTTACCCTGCAACTGGATGAGTGAGGAGCTGCAGAAACACTGAGTGTCCTCCAACCTGAGAGTAACATGCTAACAAAGGTATCCCAACTGTAGCTGTGGACATGACAGGATGTATGATTACCTAGAAGAGCATCAGGACTGTTTGAGGCATATGATAGCTATGTGATGAACATGATGATTCAGCCTCTATGGAGATAGACATATGACAAGCATGCTCATTTCTGACGTGGAGCTAATCTGAAGTAAACATTGAATACTGCTTTCTATTCCTCCATCTTGTGACTGTGTAACTCCCTCTCTTGGATATCAGCATGTGAAGGACACTGTTCAGGAACTAGTTGATGCTCTGTATGTGATGACTACTTCCATTCTGGAGAGGATCACAGATACATGGATCCTGAGATTGAAGCTCAAGCCGGGGACCAGGGATTATTAACATTTGTAAGTATTCAGAAAAAGTCCGATTTTTGAGAATTTTGAGAAAAAGTAAAAATGTAGAGATTTTTGAGAAAAAGTCAACATTTTGAGGAAAAAGTCAACATTTTGAGGAAAAAGTCAACATTTTGTGGAAAAAGTCAAAATGTTGAGAATTTTGAGAAAAAGTCAGAATGTTGAGATTTTTGAGAAAAAGTCCATTTTCTTTAGAAAAAGTCAACATTTTGAGAAAAAGTCAAAATGTTGAGATTTTTGAGAAAAAGTCAATTTTTTTGAGAAAAAAATAGAAAAAGTCAAAAAAAATGAAAAAGTGAGAATTTTTGAGATTTTGAGGAAAAATTCAACATTTTGAGGAAAAAGTCAAAATGTTGAGATTTTTGAGAAAAAGTCAATTTTTTTTAGAAAAAGTCTTGTGACTGTGTAACTCCCTCTCTTGGATATCAGCATGTGAAGGACACTGTTCAGGAACTAGTTGATGCTCTGTATGTGATGACCTGAGGTTGAAGCTCAAGCCGGGGACCAGGGAGAGTTTCCTGACAGTAATTGTTGAAATAGTAGAATAAATAAATCAAAACCCAACCTCCTCCAGGGGCTCTTCGTCCAGGAGGGCAACGTCCCGGGACCGCCGGGGGGGGGCAGGGGGGTCCTTCTGGAGAGGCCTCTGGACCAGGTGCACGATCTTATGGGAGATGTTGAGGGGGGGGAACGGGACTGGGAGGGAAAGAAGAAGATTTAAAGAAATTAAGATTATTTTTTATAGGGATTTTGGAATTTATGGAGAATTTCAAGCAAAAATAAGAATAATTAAAAAAGTTCTGAATTTCCATCCATCCAAAGAGTCAAATTGAAATAATAAAACTATATCATAGAAATGACAAGTGTGTGTACCTGGACTGGGGGGAAACAGGAATGTATTTGAAAGAATTAAGATGATTTTTATACAAATACAATTTTTTAAAAAAGCAGGATTTGGGAAAAAAAAACAAGATAAGAGAAAAATGATCATTTGAAAACAGATATTGTCGATTTACACACAAAAATAGTTTTAAAAGTTGTTGTTGTTTGTGTACAAGTGTGTGTACCTGTCCTGTGGTGCAGAGGGGTGTGTGTGACGTCGCTGTGTGAGAGCAGTGCATGCTGGGAGATGGTGGCCTCAGAGATGAGCATGAAGGTGATGTTCCTGTAGCAGACGCCAGGGAGCCAGTGCCTGAACACCGTCTTCCCCTTGTGGAAGTCTGCAGACACACAGAGAGAACCACAGAGTGTGTACAGCATATTGTACCTTAGAGGTCTCCTGCTATCTTTAGGCAGATATCACAGGTCTCAGATATATACAAATATATAAAAAACATGTCTCTGAAGTGTTTTGCTCAAAACAGAGATCATTCTAGCCCCTAACCCCTCTCTTCCAGCTGTTAGAGAAACGCTGGTTTTGGGTCCGTAGCTTTGGAAAAAAATGCTAAATGCTGCCGTGATGAAACTCCATATCATGTTCCAAACCACATCAAGGATTCTCTCTGAAACAGCATGGAGCTCAAACTCTTTCTCTCTCTCAGGTTTACCACAAGGTGACTTCCTTTTGATTTCCTGCTTCTTCACACACACTCTCTCCAGTACAGGTTAGCTCTGAGTGTTAGCATGCTAATGTAAACACAGACCATATTACTTCCAGAACACGTTCATTAGAAACATTCATTAGCTAACAATGACATTATTGTTCTATTCATATAAAGGGAGGTCAGGTACTCTTTAAAACAGCTGCTAGTTATGGGTACTTTTTACTGAAGTACATTTCAAAGCCTCTTTACTTTGACTTGAGTAAAGAAGTTTAGTCAGTACTTCTACTTTCACCAGAGTATTTTTAAACACGAGTATCTGTACTTCTACTTGAGTAAAGGATGTGTGTACTTCTACTTGAGGAAAGGATGTGTGTACTTCTACTTGAGGAAAGGATGTGTGTACTTCTACTTGAGTAAAGGATGTGTGTACTTCTACTTGAGGAAAGGATGTGTGTACTTCTACTTGAGGAAAGGATGTGTGTACTTCTACTTGAGGAAAGGATGTGTGTACTTCTACTTGAGGAAGGATGTGTGTACTTCTACTTGAGGAAAGGATGTGTGTACTTCTACTTGAGGAAAGGATGTGTGTACTTCTACTTGAGGAAAGATGTGTGTACTTCTACTTGAGGAAAGGATGTGTGTACTTCTACTTGAGGAAAGGATGTGTGTACTTCTACTTGAGTAAAGGATGTGTGTACTTCTACTTGAGGAAAGGATGTGTGTACTTCTACTTGAGGAAAGGATGTGTGTACTTCTACTTGAGTAAAGGATGTGTGTACTTCTACTTGAGTAAAGGATGTGTGTACTTCTACTTGAGGAAAGGATGTGTGTACTTCTACTTGAGGAAAGGATGTGTGTACTTCTACTTGAGGAAAGGATGTGTGTACTTCTACTTGAGGAAAGGATGTGTGTACTTCTACTTGAGGAAAGGATGTGTGTACTTCTACTTGAGGAAAGGATGTGTGTACTTCTACTTGAGGAAAGGATGTGTGTACTTCTACTTGAGGAAAGGATGTGTGTACTTCTACTTGAGGAAAGGATGTGTGTACTTCTACTTGAGTAAAGGATGTGTGTACTTCTACTTGAGGAAAGGATGTGTGTACTTCTACTTGAGGAAAGGATGTGTGGTACTTCTACTTGAGGAAAGGAGGTGTGTACTTTCTACTTGAGGAAAGGATGTGTGTACTTCTACTTGAGGAAAGGATGTGTGGTACTTCTTACTTGAGGAAAGGATGTGTGTACTTCTACTTGAGTTAAGGATGTGTGTGCTTCTACTTGAGGAAAAGGATGTGTGTACTTCTACTTGAGGAAAGGATGTGTGTACTTCTACTTGAGGAAAGGATGTGTGTACTTCTACTTGAGGAAAGGATGTGTGTACTTCTACTTGAGGAAAGGATGTGTGTACTTCTACTTGAGGAAAGGATGTGTGTACTTCTACTTGAGTAAAGGATGTGTGTACTTCTACTTGAGGAAAGGATGTGTGTACTTCTACTTGAGGAAAGGATGTGTGTACTTCTACTTGAGTAAAGGATGTGTGTACTTCTACTTGAGGAAAGGATGTGTGTACTTATACTTGAGGAAAGGATGTGTGTACTTCTACTTGAGGAAAGGATGTGTGTACTTCTACTTGAGGAAAGGATGTGTGGTGACTTCTAACTTGAGGAGATTGTACTTCTACTTGAGGTAAAGGATGTGTGTACTTCTACTTGAGGAAAGGATGTGGTGTACTTCTACTTGAGGAAAGGATGTGTGTACTTCTACTTGAGGAAAGGATGTGTGTACTTCTACTTGAGGAAAGGATGTGTGTACTTCTACTTGAGGAAAGGATGTGTGTACTTACTTACTTGAGGAAAGGATGTGTGTACTTTCTACTTGAGTAAAGGATGTGTGTACTTCTACTTGAGGAAAGGATGTGTGTACTTCTACTTGAGGAAAGGATGTGTGTACTTCTACTTGAGTAAAGGATGTGTGTACTTCTACTTGAGGAAAGGATGTGTGTACTTCTACTTGAGGAAAGGATGTGTGTACTTCTACTTGAGGAAAGGATGTGTGTACTTCTACTTGAGGAAAGGATGTGTGTACTTCTACTTGAGGAAAGGATGTGTGTACTTCTGCTTGAGGAAAGGATGTGTGTACTTCTGCTTGAGTAAAGGATGTGTGTACTTCTACTTGAGGAAAGGATGTGTGTACTTCTACTTGAGTAAAGGATGTGTGTACTTCTACGTGAGTAAAGGATGTGTGTACTTCTACTTGAGGAAAGGATGTGTGTACTTCTACTTGAGTAAAGGATGTGTGTACTTCTACTTGAGTAAAGGATGTGTGTACTTCTACTTGAGTAAAGGATGTGTGTACTTCTATTTGAGTAAAGGATGTGTGTACTTCCACTTGAGGAAAGGATGTGTGTACTTCCACTTGAGGAAAGGATGTGTGTACTTCTACTTGAGGAAAGGATGTGTGTACTTCTACTTGAGGAAAGGATGTGTGTACTTCTACTTGAGTAAAGTGTGTACTTTGTCATCTCTGTATTGATGTATTAAAGACATCAGAAAGAGCATTTTGCATGATGGGAGACCTTTAATATAATATAGAAATAACCTTTGTACAGCATGTAGCGAGGCTCCGCCCCCTCGCTGTAGCTGATGTTGACGCGGCTGAACACGCTGCCCCCTGGTGGCTGCAGCTGGAACACCACGCCGGTCTCTGGAGACTCTCTGTAGTCCCAGATGTGCACGCTGCGCACGGGGAGAGGCTCTGAACACACACACATCATCATTACTGTAGTCATACACACACACACACATCATCATTACTGTAATCACACACACACACACACATCATCATTACTGTAATCACACACACACACACACACACATCATCATTACTGTAATCACACACACACACACACACATCATCATTACTGTAATCACACACACACACACACACATCATCATTACTGTAATCACACACACACACACACACACATCATCATTACTGTAATCATACACACACACACACATCATCATTACTGTAATCATACACACACACATCATCATTACTGTAATCATACACACACACATCATCATTACTGTAATCATACACACACACATCATCATTACTGTAATCATACACACACACACATCATCCTTACTGTAGTCACACACACACACACACATCATCCTTACTGTAGTCACACACACACACACATCATCATTACTGTAATCACACACACACACACATCATCATTACTGTAGTCACACACACACACACATCATCCTTACTGTAGTCACACACACACACACACACATGTCAGTAGTTCAGTCTTAAAGAAGCTTCAAAGATGTTGGATTTGCAAAAAGCCAGTTTAGAATAAAGCACCCTGGTATTTAAGGGTTTCTCAGAAAACATGATATTTAAGGGTTTCTCAGAAAACATGATATTTAAGGGTTTCTCAGAAAACATGATATTTAAGGGTTTCTCACAAAACATGGTATTTAAGGGTTTCTCAGAAAACATGATATGTAAGGGTTTCTCAGAAAACATGATATTTAAGGGTTTCTCAGAAAACATGATATTTAAGGGTTTCTCAGAAAACATAATATTTAAGGGTTTCTCAGAAAACATGATATTTAAGGGTTTCTCAGAAAACATGGTATTTAAGGGTTTCTCAGAAAACATGATATTTAAGGGTTTCTCAGAAAACATGATATTTAAGGGTTTCTCAGAAAACATGGTATTTAAGGGTTTCTCAGAAAACATGGTATTTAAGGGTTTCTCAGAAAACATGATATTTAAGGGGTTTATAAAGAACCAGAACCAGAATCAGGTTTATTACCACGTACGCTAACACACGTGTCGTGGTGCATACATACAAATAAAACAAAACATTAAAAACACATATAGAAAACTATTTGAAGAAACCATAATAACATTAAAGAAATATATAAAAATATAGCAGTATTTATATTGAATATGATTGAAATGGAAGAAATCGATTGTGCAGTAAGTAACATAGTAACACAAGTAACTCACTGGTGAGCACTGGGATGGTTCTGATGGGTTTGGACCAGCCGTCCGGCCCGTCTCTCAGCAGCAAGCTGACGCTGTAGCAGAGGCCGTGCAGCGAGGCGTTGACCTTCAGCTCCTTGACCTTCAGCTCCTTGACCTTCAGCTCGCTGGCGTTCTCAAACTGCACGATGATGGGCCTCGTTCCTCCTGAGATCTGAGCAGCGTACGCCGTCACGTTCTCCTGGAGGTCGGAGCGCTCCAGCGTCGCCACGATCTGACCGCCATCGCTCAGAGACGCCTGGAACGCACACGCGCTCTGAAACAGGAAGGAGAAGACTTAATAATATGCATTCAAACTAAGAAGTAGAAGAAGCCTTTAAAACACATTCAAACATAAAGCAGAAGAACATTACGGCTTCCAGGAAGTAGACACAGCCCTCTTTCTCTAATTAGAGCCACTATAAGGCTCCTCAAAAGGTCATATATTACATATTACTCATTACTTTAAAAAAAAGTCATATATGACTTTACTTCGTTACTCTCTACATAAAGTAACTCGGGTGTAAACGGGGAACATTCCTTGCTGCTTGTCCGGAGTCGGCACTCCCTGAACATCCTCACTGTGGGTTCGGGGGTCTTTGGCTGCTCCCGTGTCTAATTACTGGATGTCTGCAGGACGTCATGCTTTTACTGACAAAAGTAATCAATACTATATTCCCTGAACCACTAATGTGTGGTAACTAATATATAGTGAACACTTCTTATTCCCACGCACCCTGAACTCACCACAGGCTGTGAGTATTTACTGAAAATATTCCCCAAATCATATTCACTTTAATATCCTCTGAAGCACATTGAAGAGCATTTAAAGACATGCGTGCAGGACAAAGAGCTCCACATCTTAACAAATTAAATACAAATTAAAAAAGGAAAATGAAAATAAATGTAAAAAAACAAGAAATAAAATATGACAATAAAATAAAATACAAATAATAGTAAACAGATGTCAAACAAACAAATCGGCTCTGTCTATTTCCTGGAGATGCTTCACCCTTCCTCTGACATATTTTTCCTCGATCGATGAAACCTGTTGTTATTTCTCGTAAAGCTTTAATAACTGGTCTGAAATCAGCTGATCTGACTTCCTGTTGTTCTCAGTCTGATGCTATCAGCAGGTTTTATTAAATGTGGCGAGCCGACGCCTCGCGGACGAGATAACACTCCAATATAATAATAACAGAAACACTGGTTTCCTCTTCTGAACCCAACAGAAGCTCAGAGGGAAGAAACAAAGCTCCGACAACACTGAGCAGCCAATGGGAGATCAGAGCTGGGACTACACGATGTACTTATATAAACTACATATAAACTACATATAAACTACATACTCAAAAAGACGTTCCTCATGCATCTTTTACGTCTTCAGCCTGACAGAATAAAGACTCTTTCTGTATCAGGGTCTATGCAGGAGTCCTGAAGTCACATGTAAGACCTTTTAAGACCCTTTCCATACATTTTAAGACCTCATCGCCACTTTGAGTTTTAACCGGTTACCTTGGCGACACACTTCACCTCACATTGACTATATACAGTATTGATTGTCCTTCCTCCTTATCTTCCAACCATTTGGACGCAGACTTGCATTTCCCCGTAACCATGTTGTTCAACAACCGGCGTAAACGGAGCTTCACGCTATCAAGCAGTGAGCGTGCGATGTCCTGTTCAGATGACGTCTGAACGGGATGCCATAAATAAACTACACAGAATCACACTACACACCTACGCCATGATTACATTCAGGCAGACTGTAGAATACCTCTTTGGACAATTCATATACTTATTGAAAACAAGCTACAAAATGTAATACCTTGGGAAATGCCCTTTAATACTTTTTAAGACCCCGCGGACCCCCTGTAACAAACAGAAGCAAGTAAACAAACTCTGCTTCAAAACGAAACAGCAGCTGCATCTGAAATCCCTGAAGAGCCAATGGAAATAAGTCGTCAGCATGAAAAAGGAATAGAGGAAGCCCTACTAGTATTCTTTTTTAACAGATAGAATAAAATAAACACATTCATTGGTGTCTTATTAACTCAAACCAGTGACGATCCAATGGGATGTAAGAACTGGGACCACATGTTCGATCTGAAACCAGTGACGATCCAATGGGATGTAAGAACTGGGACCACATGTTCCATCTGAAACCAGTGACGATCCAATGGGATGTAAGTACTGGGACCACATGTTCCATCTGAAACCAGTGACGATCCAATGGGATGTAAGTACTGGGACCACATGTTCCATCTGAAACCAGTGACGATCCAATGGGATGTAAGAACTGGGACCACATGTTCCATCTGAAACCAGTGACGATCCAATGGGATGTAAGAACTGGGACCACATGTTCCATCTGAAGTCAGATGTCTTCATCAACATCAGGCCGATGTAAAACTGAGATTCCTCACATGAGAAAGCACCAGCTTTGATCCTGGTTTACCGTATATCATGAAGACCAACAGAAACCGGTCGACTGAGAACAAACTACAGATTATTCTCTGAGTCTCAGCTTCTACGTGTTCTGTTTCTGCAGAACAGATCATCCTATCGAGATCTGACCCACTTCTGTAATCTGTCACAGTGAGGAAACACTGGGGCATGCTGGGAGAAATTACAACACACACACACACACACACACACACACACACACACA